TTTTTAATAACGTTATTAAAAATAAAAGAATGAAGCAGAGATACTAACTTGTCAAGCAGAAATGGCTAACTCAGCATCCGTGAGCTCCCTCCTCTTCTCCCTCCTGTGAAATCCACTCTTGTTTTTTTTCTGGGCTCGATCTAATTCTTTCTTTTCAACTTGGATTTCTTCCTGGGTCTTCTTCTGTTTCCCTGTATTGGTTTTCAGAACAGGCTCCAATCCAGGTTGTAGGGTGTATTTAGGTTGTTGGAGGGGTCAGCTTCACTCAGCTAGCTCAGCTAGCTTACTGTTTGAACGAGAGCATGCTAGCTCGGCTGCGCGGCGTGCGCGCTGCGCTGCCGAGCTAGCGCTGCGCAGGCAGGGACGGGGGTGGGCAAGAACAGCTCGTGCATGAGACAAACCTCACTTTTGATTGGCTGTTCGTCTCCGGGTCGAGAGATTTTAACAGAGGGCAGAAGGACCACCTTGAGGAGCCAGAGGACTTTTTTTCCCCCAGAGATTATCTGTCTAATATCAATCTGTCAGGACACAGTGAGAATTTTAACAAATATGTCAAAAAATATATATTTTAAAAAGTTACAGACTGCAGCTTTAATGAAGCCACATTTTAATGCCAATTTATGTTTAATATTGCTGTTTTTTGGTTTACATAATACTGTTTATTACAGTATTATGAGATTTGTTCATAATCTAAGGTTTAATAGARCAAATCGTGATTTCAAAGTGAGAAACTTGCAGTTTTGGCATATTGCTGTGGCATTTCTGAGTGGAGTTTGCATGTTCTCCCTGTGCATTTGTGGGTTTTCTCTTTGTATTCCTGTTTTCTAACTTTAAAATGTCCCCATAGATAAGTGTGTGTGAGTGTCTCATTTGTCTACATGTGACCCTGAGATGGAGCGGTGACCTGTTCAGGCCGTACCTCGACCAATTCATTAAATGAAATCCACGATTTTAGCTTTAACTGAAAATTAACAAAATGCTTGAAAGGAATTTTAAAAAGAAGATATTTCTGTACKACGTATAGAGAAAGATGTAAAAAGATCGTAATGATTTTTGAAGATGCCACCCTGCGCTAACGGCGAGAGCAATTAAATCAGCGTTCAACCTCTTAGTGATGACTCAGGTGAATGATTGTTAACTAGACTTAATGGGATAATCCATTAACAAGGTAGCTTTGAAAGCGCAAAGACAAACGATTGACAGGCCCACAATGCCGCTTCCTCCTCTCTCTACGTCCTGCTCTCGTACCACCGAGTCATTACTACCATTTGAATATGAGCAAGATGTACTTGAGATGCAGGGCTTAAAAGAAAAGAAAGAGAGGTACCATATAAAGAGATGAATAGATGATTTTGCTRTGACAAGGAAGAGAATTGTTCGCTCCACCTCCACTTGTCCTTTCTTTCTTCAGAAAGGAGGCAGCCTGTCAAGCTGGCCATTAGGAGGGTAATTTGACAAGCTGCGCAGAGTGCTTTTGCTGTGCCCTTACACCTCTTGAACATCACGAAGCCTTGTTCTGTAGCCTTAGTTCATATTAAGAAAATACACAGCTGGAAAAGAGCACAGAGGATGACAGATGACAGTCGGTGGACCGAGCCCTGTGTTCTGCTGAGGTCAGCATGGCTCTCTGATCACCGTTGGAAGGGTTTGTCACAGAATCCGTCTCACCATTTATCAAGACAGGAAATTGCTGTTCTTTGTATGTATGTTTGTTTGTTTGTTTTTTACAGTTATCGCTCATAGAATAAGTATAAAGCTTTGCAGTCATACATGTCATGAAGATGCTAATTTATGTGACAGTTTGTTGGCAGAGTAAATGGCTTTTAACTCATGAAGCAGGATATGAAACAAAAGGTCAACATGAGGAAACCACTGGGGCAATATGGAAATAAGGGGAAATGAGTTTCATCATAAAATATTTAAAGGCGAGACAGAAAAAAAAAGGGAGAGACAATAAGCAAGAGCTTCTAAAGAGAAAAAGTTAATCTGGTCATTTGTTTCTGAATAGATATAACGAATTTTACTCACATTTGAAAAACAAAAAATGCCTGAAAAATGACAGAATTGAAAAGAACTTTTATCATGCTTCTTTTTGACATGTTTTACATTTTGTTTTATCTTTGGTTTTCAAGTTTTTCCAGTAGAAACACGTTTTTAATGTGTGTGTCAAATGTCACCACATTATGATACAGTGCAGAACGTGATTTGTCATGAAGAAACACAGGGAGATCTATTTGCAAACAATTTGTTTTCTCTCATGTTTTCCACATATTTAGTGTCGATCAAAGAAAGCAAACTGATATTATTAGATTATTAAGAAGCTCTGTACGATGAGAGAATGTAGTCAGTAAATATAGCTCCTATACAACAGTAATTGTAGTAAAAAATTGTTTCATGAGCTCATTTATCTGTTTCCACTTTCCTGAAACATGTCTGATGAATTCATGTCTGTGCCAGTAATAGTGTAAAGTCAAGGAMATTATGGTGTCTGCTTTTCCTTCTATTTTCAGAAAGAGAAACATTTTGAACATCTTGAAAAAAAATCTCACAATTTGCCACAAATGTGAATTTGAACACAAGCATGAACTGACTGAATCTGATGAATTATRACTTTAGCATATTTTTCACATGACTTTAAATTAAAAGAAATAATGCACACATAACATCTTTGATAACTGTGTAAAAACCAAAAAAATCAATTTTATCATTCTCCACTTGTAGTCAGAAAGTGTCAGAAGGGGTTTTTGGATTCAGGACCACTGAAGACAAAAACAGGTTTAAAAGGTTTATTATTTCACTGTTATGTGAGGAACCTCTGGACCCTCTGGGTGGCACACTCTGCGGAGCAGAATACTGGTGAGTGTCAGGATTAAGGCTGGTGGATTTGCAAAAATAGAAAGTAGCTACTGGCCTTTTAACTGTAGACACATTAGTCTGGGTGAGTCCACAGAAGTTGGTCCCAGAGGACTTGGGTCCAGGGGAAGCGAGAGGGGTCAGGG